TACGGCGGGAAGTTATTTGTCGCGATATACGCCCAGTACGCGACAATATATATAAGTAAATATTCGTAAACTTAGAGCAGAGATGTTAAACTGTAACATTAGTTATTCATGCACAGTTACCAATCAATACGAAGAGTTACCAAGGCGTAATTAATTTTGTAAATTATTGACAAGAGTTATGCGCTTCCAGATACAAGAAATAATTTTAATAAGTTAAAGAATTCCCACTCTCCACAATTTAAATAACACATGGTAATTTTTAATTAAATTTGTTTTAATTAACCTAATAATTCCGACCGCACTATGGCCCTGGGATCGACTCAGCCTCTAAAGAAATGAGTACCAGAAATTAATTAAATAAATTTCCTGGGGAGTAAAACGCGGCCGGAACGTAAGGCTGACAAACTTACCTCCATTTTGAGCCTATTGTCTAGATAATGTGGGACCCCAACGCCTCAGAACCCTATGGGCCTTCATGGTCTGTTACAGGGGTGGCTGTACTTTTTTTTAATTTTAGGGTTAGTTTTGTTAAGCAGGAAAACTTATACAACTGAGATAGCAGTAAATGAGCCTAAACCGTCCGAGGGTGAAACTGGTACTGATTATGTTAAGATCTGAAGTTTTCAAGGGGGTGACTATGAATAACGCCGTTTTCTGGGATGTGGCGTCGTGTAGATATTTTGTTAACCTACATTTCGGAAGAAGATATCGCCTCAATCTTCAGGGTGTTAATCAGTTTAAGGGTATATATTGCGAAATATTGATCATATTCCGGCAGAAATAATTAGAGCAGAGATTAAATATTATATTCGGTGATCCATAAATTAAATAATACTAATCAGAAAGGCAGAGTTCTCTCAGCAGTGGAAAGACTCGCCTGTCTACAGGAGGAATGAGGCAACTGACGGTTAAACCGATATATAGATTTAATTATTTTGAACCATTAATGTAGATTTTGAAAAGCGTGATGAATTACTTGTGGGAATGTTTTCTTCCTTCAGACGCCGGAAGAGAATGGGAAGTGCACTGACACCGCACATTATGTAGCAGTAGCATTTAAGGTAGGCTGTGGTTCAGTTAGGAGGAAAGTATTGTCCATAATTCTAATTGGGCCTTTATACACGTGAATGTAGTTAGAGGAATTAATATATATTTACAGTTTGTAGCAATTACTTTTCAACTGTGCTATCGAATACGTAAGTTTTACAAAGGCCCCTTAGAACCGGTTGGGATTGAAATTCAATGCAACTCCTTAGAGAGTTGTCTGCAGACATGATAATATAAATACGATGAAGAAAACACAAAATGGGAATTGAAACTTCTAAGGCGGTTGATCTAGAAGTAAACTCAAATATAAGTAACTGTAACTTGATATCCTATCACGAGAATGAGGGCGAAAGTCTTAACATAAACACAGGCAATACGAGTAGATACTTTCCGAACATGGAAGTTTAAATATATCTGGAAACGAGGGTACCAGATCAAAATTTGAATCGCAAGGAAATTCTTGCAATACTTTCTATCATTCAGTTCCGAATTTCTGCTTTCTCCTTTGACGACCATATAAAGAAAATCCGACCGACCTTCCGCCGCTTGTCGGCGAAATTAGTGTCACATTTAGCGGATAGAAGTTGAGGCATGTTCAGCGCAACGAATCCCCACGGCCTTTAATTTCGGTCTTCTAAACCGAAACCCCTATTTCCTTGAAATAGTTCCTCAGTTATCCTCACGAGGCTGAGTGAATCCCGTTCCAGACCCACTACTACATAGAAAATGTGGTAGCGTCGGGAATCGAACCCAGATCTCTAGATCTGACCAATCGACTACAGAGGCGGTCACCAAAAATCATAAAGAGTGAAATACACAATACTGTTATTTAGCTTATATTTTTCTGTACTTTTGAAGCGTAGTGACTCGTATTGAGGAGGAACGGCCATTAAAGTTGCTAGAGCAGGATGCTGAGGGCACGCTGTAGCGTAGTTGGTTGAGGAACTATACTACAAGCCGGAAGGTCCCAGGTTAGACTACCGTTGAGCTCATCGGAATTTTCATTTGACCTAATAATTCCAGACGTACTATGGTCTGGGGTTGGCTCAGCTTCTGACAGATATGAATACCAGGAATCTTTCTGAGGACAAAGGATAGCTGAGGCGTAAGGCCGAAAACCACAACACCAGCTCTGAACTGATTATCTACGAAATGAGCCTCGACGTCTCACAACCCTTTCGGTTTCCACGGACTCTAACAGGGCTAGCTTTACCTTACACAGTAGGATGTTGAGGGGAATACATTGAATTAGAGAGAATAACAAAATAGGAAGCACTAAGATTGCCAAATGTGCATCTTCATGGAGGTTACAACTTTCCAGACATTCTTAGAATGATGAGATTGGAAGGGCATATAGAATGCGTTGTACACAAGAAAAGTGTCTTTGTAGTTATCATAGAACCTGAACGACAGAAACCACTCAGAAGTCCTAAACGTACACGGGTATATAAAATGAGAATTGTTTTCAAAGGAATGTAATGGAGTCTGTTCATTTGATTAATGTGATTCCGGATACAGACTAGTGGCAGAATTTTGTCAACATTATTATGGATATTCTGGTTCCATCAAATAATGGGAGTCGCTTGAGTGGCTGACGATCTGCTGGCTTCTCCACAAAAACTGAGGTCCATCAAGTATTTGGTATTGACATATAAATTTTGGCTTCCTCAAACAGAAGTCTGGAGTCCCGGCTAAGTCCGAGAACCCCATTCCGCGCTATCCTACCTTCAACGGTGACTCGGTTCTATAGTGATATAAATGTCATGTTATGTTACTGTCCATGGATACTTACACTCGAATCCCCATTTGCAGAGTTCGTTGCCGAAATCATCAGGCATTTCCAAGTTTTCGTCTCTTATCAGTCTGATTCTGTAATGAAGAGGACACTCTTTAGGAAGAGGTGTGATGAACATTTGTGCGTATTTTGCAGACACTATTATCCAAATTAGTATCAAATTGAACGGGTAATATTGGCGCTTCTCCTCGTCGGATATAGTTGCTTTCATTCTCAGCATAATGGCTGAAATATAAATAAAGGAATAACACTAGGTTTAAGCGAGTGGAGTTTACTCGTGAGAAGAAAAGACATCCAAAGTCTCTACTCTAGTATTAAGAATCTGTAAATATTCGTGGCTGCCCTATATGTAAAGAATGAGAGTGTACATTTCATAATATATGTGGATGTTCGCTATTAACTCCGTGATGTGATATTGAAAGAGGGTAGTCACATGCTTTTCTACTATTTTCCTTACTGTTATCTGTAAAGAGAAAGATTACGTGGGTGTATGTACATGTAAGCCTAGCGTGTGTAGAAAATTATATAATTTACCTCTTCAAGAAATCGTTGGCAACGGAATCGATGGGTGCCACATACAATTTCGTTGACCTGGGCTGAATCATAGTGGGATTCACTTTCGATCTGAACTTCTGCCACGTTTCACCTTGACTGAAATAAAGCGTAGCTTGTGTAAATCTTTTAAATCTAAAAGAGTGCCTGCTTCTAGTTAGGAAATACAGCTTATTCATGTGCCTGGTAGTGGAAGAATAGCCCCACAGATTCTTTCCCCCGTCACCAATTATTAATTTGCATTCAACTAAACGCCACAGACGTTTCAACCTAGGGAAAAGGGCCTCCGGCAGCAGTTTGCAGTTGGTCGTGTTGGCCCTAGATCGGGTTAGAACGATGTGAAGAAGGGTTTACCTCTTGTATCTGCCCAGAATCGAACTGTGACACTTCACTCTGACACCAGACAGCCTGCTCACGAATGTAGTTAATTAAGTTCGTGAAGATTTTCTTGATCTTACAGAAACAATCCTGTCGCTATTGTTGCATTACGTTGGGTATGTCCAAAATATCTGTGTTCACTGCTGAAGGAGGCTAAGAGGAACAAGGTGTGGAAAGAAATTCAGAAATAAATGAACATTAAGCTGTATGTGGGATTCTAGCAAAAATGACTGTAAACAGTGCGATCTTTTGGTAATCTACGGCCTGCAATACCGCAGAAGCTCCACCACCCATCCGATTATTGCAACGCGCTTTCGACCTTGATCCACAAGTCCAGAGCTCTGCGCAATCAGAACAGTTTACATGATACATCTCAAGGTCTCATTCAGACATAACGGATTGAGCAGGTATAACATCCCATACGCTGCTCTCTATGGGGGATGGGTTCTTTCCCATGGAAACGGAACTCGCAGAGCATTACGTGGCCCTCGTGGAACTACGGAGTCGGTTCTGTCACCAGTTATTCAACATTCGGGACATTAGGCGTTATAATAGATTTCCTACCACAAAACCAGAAATCAGTGGAAATAAATAAATAAAGGGTTCTCTAAATCAGGGCACAAGCGGCCTTCGTATTCTAGGGGTAACGTTACCACCTCATGCCTCAAGGTACGCGGTCGTGGAAAGTTTAAGGGCGGAAGAATTCAGGGAACAAGTCCTCCGGCAGGGACTTTAAGCCGTGGGTCCCGTGTCGTAGATTTACGCCACGTAAAAGATCCTCATGTCCAGAGGAGACCTCTGAGCAAAATTAGGCAAAATGTTTCACGCCCAAGTAGTTTCCAATGCTCCAGGTAGATGGGGAAGTTATCGGGTACCAATGCCAGTAGAGGACCGACCTCGCTGGCAGAAAGTGGAGCGTTAACGGGTACCACTGCCAGTAGAGAGTCGACCTCGCTGGAAGAAAGGGGAGATAGCGAGCACCAGTATCGGTAGGGTATGGCGACAGAAATTAAAGGTTGACGTACAATATTACTCGCGGTGAATGGGGAAACCCACCCCCTCTATACTGAATAACTGAACACCAAAATCATTGCATATGTAATATATACATTGTGCTGAGTTTCCAAACGCCACAGTTGATGTACGATTAAAACACATCACAATTTGTTATGCCTAGAATAATTAAATGCCTAATGTCCACAGTAAGAAGTACACTTCCTTGAACAAATTGGCATCTTTTCTTAAATCAATGATTCATATTTTTCTTAATCGAACTGGTGTTTTTGATGCACTATATAACTGCCAGCCTGTCACGGTAGCCGAGCGATCTAAGGCATGCACTGTCTTCGCTCGCTCGATAGCCGGGATCGTGGGTTAGAATCCCACTCAGGACATCGATGTTTGTGTGCGTTTTCTGTGTTTGTGTACAGGTAGAGGCCTTGCGACGAGCTGATCACCCGCCCAAGGAGTCCTACCATATGTGTAAGATCTAGAAAAACCGAAGTGAACGGAGTTGATAAAGGAAGGCCTAGGCCCACTGGGGCTGTAGTGACAAGGAAAAAATAAAATATCTGGCAAAACTAAGGTAATCTCATTTTGATTAATTGTGGAGAAGCACGTTGCTGCAACCAGCAGCATATGGATCCTTTTACTCAAACAGTCCAAGATCCACCGGAAGCAAAATTTTGATTGAATTACTGAGAGGAGCACTGGGCAATAGTCAAATCCCCCGGCAATATTCCAGGTAAAGGAGATGATTAGATACGGGTTATGAGGGAGGCCAGAGAGGTATGAATGTATATCTATATTATGTGGGCAAGGAACTCTCCCAACATCTATTCGAATTCAGTACCAGAGTACACACATTTATCTCTTAACTACGTGTATTATGCCTCATACACTCTCTCCTTCATCACTGCAGCCTTTACCACCAGTGACACAATTTTCTGTAATTTATCAAGGACAGGACACAGAACGTTATTCTGATCAGGGCACTACACGGCAGACCTTCTGTGTTGGCTTGATCACTACGCCCTCTCTTCTCAAGATAAATCAACTGAGCCATGTAAATCAACTCACGGCCGGGAGTGCATATGTTTGCAACAAAATAGGGATACGAAGTATTAATAGGGAACACACGTGATTTTTATATTCAGGAGCTACGGCGATTTTAAGTTAATAAAAATTAGTATTTCGCTATTAAACAAAAGGATTTAAGTTCAATAATGTTCATGTTATTAAATTTATATTCTGATTTTATTGGAAATTACTCCGCATTCGACGAAGTAACTGATACGGGAGGAACGAAGAGAGATTTCAGTCAAAGGAAGAATATCCAAACACAGTGGATCATCAGGTGACTTGAAACCCCCAATTGGGTCACTAGACTGAGTAGACTGATTACAAATTTCATACGAACCATTCAAACGTTTATTTCAAAAGGATTACTATTCTTATTTCCAGGCATTATTTGAAGAATAATAGGTTCTACGCACCAACAGGAACTTAATTTTCAGTGTTCTTGCCCTTTGTACGGCAAAGTCATAACGAGTGCTTATTGCAAAACAGTAAATATTAGTCACTTTTAATATTATGAATTATTCGAAGACTATCAGTCTCTGTGTAAAATTTGATCCATTACAAGATCTAGTACGTTTGAGGGCCACATTATGTAGCTATGACGTAGACAAAGTAAATTCTCTCGATTAAAACTACATGTAGAACGAATAAACAAGTAGCCCAGTCGGTTTCCTGCAGGAAGTTGCTACCTCTGCTTATGACGGGTGACAAATCTGGAATAAACATCTAACTCCGACGAGTAAGTTGTATGTGGGACCTATAAGAGTTAATCTGAAAAACCACCTACTCCGCTAAACTTCCGTCCCTTCAAAGGTAACATAACATCTCTTCGGTGACCAGGTTCCTCTGCGGATTACGAGAGCCTGGATTCTCATTATTACATAAATTATTTAATAGAAGAAGGCCAAGGCGGTCTATATAATAAAATATAACCTTAAACTTATCACCTGACATGCCTAAGTAATGTAAACATGTCAAGGTGACAATTCGGAATTTTCTTATGAACACCTCAACCAAGGATGTACCCTCGCTCTCGAGGATTTGGCTGTGATGTCATGACCTCCTAGCAAGCGACAGACAGAAGGCCCTCACCTCAGAATCCTATACCTACCCTGTGCAACTCACTGCTCCTGACAAAGAGCTACAAGTCAAAAAAATCTCTGTCGCAATTCCCTCTCCAGCATAATTGAAATATTGAAGCCTTCAAGTCACAGGGATGCCAGCTGCAATGTTACAAGTGTCAGGGTTTCGGCCACTTCTGGCTAAACTTCAAGTAGTGCCCACGATGTCCCAGGTACGTGGTAACACTGACTCCATGTGTTCCAAAGAATTAAAAACGCAGAGAACTGTCCTAAATGGTACAGTGCAAAGCAGAGCATCGAAGTAGATACAGCGGCTGTAAGTGTGCCGAAGCAACGTATACACAGGAAAGGCTTTACAGCTCCCATTAACCGACTCTGGCCACCTTCTTTGGCCCAAACTGGCAATGCCAGGGACAGGACATCTGCAGCTGCGCAGGACAACAATTCACCTGCCACTGCAAATGATTAGAGTTCGAAAACAATAGACTTACCTCCTGATAAATGCAGCACTGAAGGATAAGTGGTAAGAATAATGACCACAATGCAGTAAATATTGAAGGGAATACGGGCAGGAGAGTTGGCCAACGGCCTCCTTGCCGTGATACTGAGAACTGTGTCTTGTAGAAAAAAGAGCCTAAGGTAACTAAGCCCAAGGAGCTAAGTAGAGCTTTACTGTTTACAGTCATTACTTAACAATTTCTGCTCTATGGCTGCTTATTTTGCTGTCGTTGCCTAGCAACGCATCTACATACCACATACCACTAACTCCATGGCGAACAGACCTTTTGGGAGCAAATATTCTCTTATGTTGTCAAGATATCTGTCACGTTTAAATAAACAAGAATTCATTACCTTGCCAAAACCAAAACACCAATGTGGGCTGGATCTCATCCAGTATTCAATATTCATACACGACTCCCTTAATATCCATTTTAGTAAAGTCACCCTGTCTACACAAACTGTTTGCCAACTAGTGTTCCCGTAAGTTTCCGGTCTGAAATTTTGCATGTATTTCAAATCACCATCACGCATGGTACAAGTTCCCGTCATGTCATCCATATTATGACGATTACACTGAAATAATTCGTGAGAAATGTAAGTGTAGAGCTCCTCAATACACAGTCTGCTTCATCCTCATGTCACGTCCTGTCAGATGGCTGAAGTGTGAGACTTTGTTCTTGTTAAGTGCATGTAGTCCACATGGCAAGGCCGATCCTCAGGTTGTGCCAGGAGAAGAAGGCCCGAGGATAAGGACTCGGAATTCTAAATAAATTGTCGCCTTTCTCGTGGTCTGTAGGTATCCAAATTGATATAGAATGTGACATTTAGCCAGAAGACCTGAGTATCTATGCGTGGGAGATTTTTAATTATGTCTGAAAGGAACAAGACTGGAGGGCTTGGATTTTGCAACGGGTTAAGGATGGGCGTCAATATCCCATATTTGACAACAGAAATAAAGTTTCAGGTTTTAAGAAATAGAATTTCAGTTTCCCTTCCGAATATTAGGGTGTAAATGAAATTTCGACTGCATGTAGCTCTATATTTAATGAGGTTTGGGCTGTTTGTTAATGGAAATAAATATTCTGAAATACTTTGTTTGAAGAATCGGTTACAAGGAAGTGTGTGTAACTACATCATTAAAGAATAATTATCACAAAATCTGACGTCAGTCTCTCATACTTACGTTACAAGTACTCCTCCAACGCCTTGGAAGATATCTTTTCTTGTAAACAAACGATAATATGTTATACTTTTTGCTGTTTCCTTGATCGGCCACGGACCTTCGTTTCTGTACACCTGAACACAGCAAAAGTGAATGGTAGCATTTAAGAACGTTTCCTTGATTGTTTACACTCTGACTGAACACTGAAGGCGGAGGAAAATATTCCAAAATAATCTCTGCTGCATTTCTCCCACACTCCGTCACCATCCTCTGGCAGGAATCAAACACCAGTAGAATTAAAAGAAAATCTAAGTCTCTTGTCGACTGTGTGCATTGAAGTCCTCTCATCCGATCGTCCAAGTGAATGTGCAGTTAGTCGACGTGCGGCAGTCTGCCTCCATCTCCATAATCAAATGTTTACATGATACTCAACAAATCGACACTGATTATAGAGACTGAAAAGGTCTCCGAAACGTCAGAATCTAATTCCATATTCACATGGCCATCTCACCGAGGCGATTTCATTGTAATCTAAATACTACTATATTTAAATAATCCCACGAAGACCTCACAAAGAAACTCTATAGAATCCCATTAAGATGATATGTTTTTATTTTCTGAAAAAAATATCACTGTTTATGATTTAATTTTTTAACTTACATCGGAACTGACTATAATGTTCGGTCAGAAACCTTGGGGTTAGAGTTTCAATACTTCGACATTATGCTGAAACTGTGGCACGGTACAGAATGCAAACTGACTTTCCCTTAACAGAGGCCAAACAAAATCCTTCCGTTCATTAGTGGAACTGTATAATTCTTTTCCAGCATGTTCTCACATACTCATGTTGTCTAAACAACAACGTAAATAAAAAGAAAATGAAAGTAAAGGTATCCCTGTACCAGGCCGTGGAGGCCCATAGGGTTGTGAGTTGTTGAGGTTCCCACATTTTCTAGACAATCATGTATGGCGGCAAGGTTTTCAGCACTTTACCCCCAAGAATATTCCTGGTACTAATTTCTGTTAGAGGCTCAGTCGACCCCAGGGCCATAGTGCTGCTGGGCGGATTAGGTAAATTGAAAAATTTCAATTACCTCATCGAGATTTGAATCCGCGACCTTCCGGTTTGTAGCATAGTGCCTCAACCAACTAAGCTACCGTGTTCCCCCGAACAACAACGTAAACCTGATAGAAAACAGGACTGATATTATCACGATCGCCACGACTTAGAATAAAACATTTGCACCCGATAGTATCGTGTTTAATACGTGGATTTCAACAGTGATATTGAACTCATTGGTTCGATGACGGAGTGACCTGAAAATCATAACGAGAACGCCTGATGTATTTAGCAAAGGACTGAGTGTGAAACTTGCCGTCAGGTGTTGATGGGTTGCCATAGAGTCTATGTTCATTCCTTCGTCATTGCAGCATAGACCAGACATTGAGACGGTCTGGGAAGTCAGTGACGGTGGGGCTAAATACTTTTTAACAAATTAAATGGATAGAATAATGTGCTTGAGATTGTTTTGTATCAGGCTTAACACATGTCATGAAATTTTTAATCTTTTCTCGGGCTAACAAAAACCTCTTCCGAGGTTCGCAGGTGCCCGCCAGTTTACGATTGGATAAAAGTTTACCTTAAATACGTATTAAAGCATATGGAAGAACGTAACAGTTGGAAAATGTATTTGCGCACTCCATCAGCACGAAGCTAATTGCACACCAAGAATGCGTCACTTGAAAACACTTACCTTTTCAATGACGTCGGGATCGAAGACTATCACTATATTTTTAAGCCCTGGGATTCCAGTGATTTTCATGATTTTCCCATACTTTTCGTAGAGGTCTCTGTGGTAGCTTTCTTCCCTTAGTCGATAAAGATCACCTTAAATTTAAATCAAGTTATTTTTAAAATACAGGGAAATGAAGCGCAATGAAATCTGATTAAAACTTATTTATCAATATACAATTATTGGAAAAGCAGAAATGATATATCACTGCATTTTTACTGTGTTCTCGTATCGTCTTATACTTCCAAACATATTTCCAACAATTTTCAATGTTAGTGCAGCTAGAACGAAAACCATGTCAATACAGACCTCCCTCTCTTTATTCTGCTCTCGTTTGCTACCCCCTTTTTTGTCGGGTATGATTCCACCAGCTTCTGAAGTTGCACTTATTGTGGTTTCGTTAGGTATAGGAAGGTATTCGATCCTCACGAAAAGAAACATCAATGACAATGTAAATTTGGATTTCCGTATATGAAATAACAGAATACTACGATACGGTTCAGTTGAAGCTGGTAAGTGACCGAATTCTTGTTGAAACATCAGAGTCCCTACAACTCACACATGACCAAACATCTGTAAAATTTTCACCTGTTTACCTTATACCTTTCACATTCTTCCATACCATGTTATGGTTCTGTACATTTTCGACCACTCTGTGTTGGCAAACACGAAAAATATCCGTCTCTTAATGGCAGGCTGGCGAAATGAGAACCTCTCCATCAATATAAACGTTGCATGTACCTGCTGCCGATCCCAGTGGCCGCGCGCTCTAGGGCATGATGGGGTTTCGCCCGCTCGGACATTGGGATCGTGGGTTCGAATCCAACTTCACACATGGATATATATATATATGTACGACACATGTTAGAAATTCTCATCATTAGACTGCATGCATGTTGCCAAATTTCGTGCCATGAATTTTAGCACTGCATGCATCCCAGCTCGTTTATGATATCGATCGTCGCTTCACCTATGGTCTCTACTGAGAGATACCTTGTTTCTGATTTATCATCGTGATGAACCCTTCACTTTATGAAACCCAAAATAAATTATGAAATTGGTTTAAACTGGAGACCGAGTGGGGCAAGCCACCGGTCCACTCCTTCCTATCCACATTCCTTCATTATCTTCTTTCAATAAATGCAGTACCGCTTTGCCGCAAAGCGGAGATTCTCTGTCATTTTGAAGCCAAATTTGTCTAATTGTTGTATGAAGCATGTTCTTCAAATGTAGCATTTAATTCACTTTAAAACAGAAATCATCCCTTGCGGAGCTGTTGATCGCCCATAGATAGTACGTGGTCCAATCAGGTTGTTGCCTAACAATCCACACAACACGTTAATAAAAATTCGGTGCTGATAGTGAAATTATCCTACTTCATGTTGATTCTCATGTAATCAAAAGGGCAAATCCTTTGTGACGGTTCTACGCTCCCCGGTAAATTGAATCTCGTCCGTTAACAGGACATCATATGGAATGTATAGCCATGGTTAGAACAATTTATAATATCTCACGCGGTTAGCTTTACTGCCTGGAAGAAATGTTTTATTCGTTGGGGATGACACGGATAGAAAACTTCATGGTGAAAAATTCTCCGTACATATGCCTGTTCTACACCAGTCCTTCTGGAATTTCTGCCTAAACGTGTACTTGGGCTTCGCCCCATTGCTGCCAGAACATCTTCTCCAAGCCATGTTCACGCTGTGTATTCGCTCGTAGGAATGAACCAGTCTCCCTCAGTTTTCCCTGTACATTCTCAAATGTTTCGTGGTGTGGACATTTCTGCAGATACGCGCCACAGCAACCATACAACTTCCATCGCAGAAACCCTGCACGAAATGCGTGTCTGAGTATTCAACACGTGTGTTAAGCATATTGCCTACGACGGCGCTGAAACACAGCACGGTCATTGAGAGTGCACTAGCAGAACTTCGTCGAGTTACAGCAGTTCCAGCTCTCTCCGCTGGAGCTTAACTGGATAACCGTATCGAATCCACCTATCCATTATTAGGCATTATTTTTGCTCGATATAAGTTGCAGATGTACGACCAGTATGTCACTGAACATCTCCAATTAAAGGAAACTTATTGCTTAAATACATCTAAGAGCAGTGGGAACGTTACTTCAACAATTTTCGCACGATTTCACCTATGATGTTCATTTATTAAACTAAAAATATATTTTTAAAGCCAATCACATGAAATGAATCACAATATAGAGTCATATATTACCTGTTAATTAGATTCCAAATTCACAACGTCGCAAATTATCTATATCAGATATGTATTGTTCATATTTATTTCGTAAAATGTGCTCTTGAATATTAATTTTCAATTTCAGACTCACGCAAAAGGGGGTTATTTTGAGAGACAATAATCAGAATTATATTGGCTTTAGAAGTTTAGTGTTAATTCCGACAATATTTGACCGTTGGCCAATTGCATGTACGAATGGACGACTGTGTTGTCAGCACAGCATAGTGACGTAAGGAAACAATAGTTTACCAGGATACGGAATAAATCTCCAGATATTCCTTATGACAAGCAACGGCTTTGATCCTGGTATGTCTTCAAATCTTGAGGTAATACAAGTAATCCGGTCTAACTTGTGTTATGGCCATAGTGATATTACATTTCTTAAGCACATGCAGTCACAAACTGCGCAGCATTGGAGGTTGCCCGCCAGCGACCAGCGACCAGAGACTGACCTATGCTGTAACCTTGATATACAAGTACGAGGTATTATCCCTCGCAGACACTGACTCGGTTTACAGTCCCTGTGAAAAAAAAAGCGGTTGATACGAGAGATTTTCTTTTTCAAGTTCATTTTTATCACCATAATCCTGTAAGATTCAGTGACCCATGAAATATAACTTTGCACTCTTTATCAGCATTACACACATTAAAAATGCAGAGTAATGATGACCGTAATGAAATTACGCTCTGAATTGATGGAAATTGACGGTAGCTGTAACTAACTACTTTACCGGCTCCATGCTCTGTTAAGACTTGTATGGTGGGCTATGGAGAAGAGTGTCTCCCCATATTCCCTACATGTTCAATCCTAGTGACATACGGAGGAACTGGCGTTACTGCGCCACAATCTGATGTGATTTGTAGTTCCTGCCTTACAGGTTTTAGTGTTCTACCTAAACGTGAGTACCTATCTCACTGAATCATGTTCCTGTCTGTGATGTGAGCTGCAATGAAGCTAAAATTGACAAGACTAGAGAGTTTGACCCAGGTTCAGGTCTCGTTACACAAATTTTTATATTTATCCTTCTTACTGTTAGCATGGACGTAGCCAATTTTCTTCCACGTTCATTTACTGCAGATTAAATCCATCAAAACTTGTTACATAGGTATGTCCCCTATCGCTTTAGTGCCTTCATCCTTATCTGCAGACGGAGGAGATGGTGTCGAGATGAAGAGAGAAATTTATATCATATTGAATATAGATCCTCTGAAATCGGACTGGTTTTGGTCCTTAGTCTGACGACTACTTGATGAGACTAATCATTCCTCGCTCTGAAAACAGGAAATAGTACGGAAATTTACTTACAGAGAGCTATGGCTTGAATAGAGATATTAGAGGTGGAATCTTTTAAAAATGGTGGCCAACTTTTATTTCACGGAGTTAGTTTAATTAATTATTAAAAATTAATTTTCTCTGCAGTTTAATTGCATAAAACAATATACGCTTTTGTTTCTATGACCTCTGCCATTATTCATCCAGATCCAAGATGTAGTTTTAAGAATAGCGGAAAGTCTTATAGACTGCATGAGTTTCCTCAGTGTTTCTTCAACATTATTCGTAAATTCTTCTTTGGTTTAATAAAGAACCGAACATACTATGGAAAACTACAAGATAGTCACACTATTTTCTTCGAAAATTTATTACATATTCACAATGCTGATAAGACTTTAAAGCTGTAATACGTATTTGCATTTGTTTCGTATAATTAATCCCTCGCTACTTGACTCCGGCTTGAAATACATGTAAAATATGTACTACTTTCGAACCATACTTATCCCAATTTAATATCCTTGACAGCTTTAGTATTCATTATTCCAGTATTAAATTTCACATGTATCCCATCTATGATGAATTCCACGTAAAAACGGACAAATGGTCTTTCACTCTGAGGGTACCCATAAAGACGTAACGAAACAGTAGCTTACCAATATGTGGGATAAATCTCCAGGTATTCCCTATGATAGGCAACGGCTTTGGTCCTGGCATGTCTTCAAATGGCTTGGCGTAATCCCACTCCTCCGGCCTGGCCTGTGAGGCAACCATAGTGTTGTTGCATCTCTTGAGCATACGAGCGCTGACATTGCGCAACGCTGCGTTTTGGCTTCTAACGACGAGCGACCTACTCCCACAAACGCCTTGACGTAGCATCTCGCACACAGTGATTGTGGTTACGGTTGCTGTGCAATATAAATATAGCAGATACGAAAATTATCATGAACGGTATTACAGCACATCTTCTACAGACGTCACTATGTTAGTCGCTCTTTGGCGTATCACCTTCAAACGACATGGTGCAGGATATACTGTTTCGCCACGTTCTTTTTATGCCATAAAAGTAAAAAATGATCTGACTTAACCCTAATATGAAAGTTTATGTATGCATGTATTTATTGGTCTATCCCATATAGAAAATCTATATTTGAGTATATGACACCGGATCCCACATATAAATCGTGACATTCGTGCTTCAGTAATTCGTTTTGTTATTGCTCTGCATTGGCATGCCGAAATGTCCTTCATATAAGTGACAGATACAATTTTTACGAAGTGTCTTGTGACGAGTGTGTGTACGTCCTTAGTCTGGGTGAAGGAGAGTGCCTCGACACATGTAGGGTATCTGCGAATAAACTGAATAAAAACTTGCATACGTCGGTCAAGAAGTATTCCCGAGTATGAGGGAAATTTGAAAATTTGAATGGGTGGTAAGAACTCCACGCAGTAAAGACACGGCATGTAATGAAATGGTACATACTAAGGACACGGAATTCCACAAAGATAAGGGTGGCAGAATATTGAGACTTAAGTGAAACTACGGGTTCCGTAAATTGAGAATTTCTTTTCTAGGCAATCTTCGCAAGCAGGACTATGGTCCACGTTGTTAGTTTAAATACAGAGTGTTGTTGTGTAGACGGGATATTCTTGTATGTTTGTATCTTATGTGAGACAACAGAAGAGGATGAAAACTATTAAACTATTATCGTACGTACATATAGATTTGCATATTATACTGCCCTGCCATTATATTGAATTCATCTTCCGATTTTTGGTGTAGTTTTGAAGAATGGTCTCTTAACTTTTAGGCAATAATATGCATGACAAGTGCTTGAACCTAAGAGGGACAACACAAGTTATCAGTTCTAAGTAAGAGATTCGTGATATGGTCCCTATACTTGATAAGCAGCGTCTGTCATGGCGAGAGCGGAGATGTCACTCTTCTCTTTACTTTTGTGGGAGAAAGAAAACATTTACGACATGGTCACTAAGTAGACTATGTACCGTGGAAAACGAGGAAGTTGGTGGATTGGTGACAAATCTTAAAGTAGTCGTGTCCTAGAAGGTACTTGCCTAGAGACACAAGAAAACCACAAAAGAACTTCAGTCAGATTAACAGGCATCCAAGCCAAGTTTGGAACCGAAAGTTTCCAAAATATGATTATACATTTTTACAACTAGACCAACCTGCAAGGGAAAAACAATATGGACTTCCTTTTTGTATATTTTAACTGTTAAAGTGAGAAGTAGGTAATTGGGTCCAGGATCGTGTCACGTGACGGTGTGTGCATTATTAGCTGTGATTAGTCTCTGGACTATGAAAATAGCAATAATGAATTATGATTTGCATGAGTATTTGATATGGATTTGGAGAACGCCTTTCCCTTTGATATATATGAGTGACAATTCCTTTAATTCACATGAGCGTATTATATATATAAACACTTCTTGTTGATATCTACATCTGACCCTATGATAAGTGATAATAGGATTTATTTTAAGAATGTTGCTCACTTTCATGGTTCTTACCAAATATAAACTTCCATGAGAGCGAAATTCGTCTTATGTTTAGAAACAAGTATACTCTCTATCAGTATGTGATAGTTTTTGACGTCGTTTAGATTGGATAAACCTTCGAGCCGTATCTCTAACCCAGGTCAAATTATATAATTAAAAATTGCTTTCATTTTTTCCAGAGACAAATAAGACTTTAACCTTACTTATTTCGTGATCTCACCTCTAAATTCATCACAAAATAAGTTATGTCCTTATCAATGTTTCAGCACGTCACAGGAGATGGGTAGGGTTACACTCTGTCGATACAAAGATACTCATGTCCTGAAAATAGTACACTGCACACAAAATGTTTGCACATTTATCTTGTTAAATATTTACTTTTCACAAAATTTTCACCTTTAGATTTTATTATTATTTTTTATTGCCAGTGGGGTGGGACTAAGTCCCTTGTACTGCGGCCACTTCTGGCATATTGTACCAGCCTCAGATGCTAGATTGAGGGTGATTGTGGAGCAATTGGTGCAGTGAAGATTCGCAGGAGAAACCAAAGTACTCGGAGAAAGCCTACCCCAGCGCCACTTTGGCCACAACAAATCTCACTTGACCAGACCGGGGATCAAACCCGGTCCGCCGCGGTGGAAAGCCAGCGACCAAGCGCTTGAGCTATGGTGCGACCTAGATTTCAATAAGTCTCATATTCCTTTCCTATATTAGTTCCGTAAAGGCTGGTCATTAATGAGAAATGTAATGAAGTTACATCGAGACTGAAACTAAAACACATATGCACTGCTACAATGTTATATGATGTATGTACATGATTCGGCCATGGAAGGCCGTTTTCAGGCAACATTTCTGTGAGCAATCCTAATGCACTGCGAAATAATCGACTGTAATTCCTTTTATTACTTTCGTTTCATTTCATTCATATTAACACTATTATATAGTATAACAACATATGCACATGACAATCGCTATGCGATATTGAAGTGTTAATCAATATTATTGATTGTAGCATTATAGACGGGAAATTTCATAGACTATAAATGGAACGTCAGTGTAACAGAATGCCTGTATATAATATTAAGTCTATACACTGTTCACTGGCACATGTGATTTGCATTTCTGATCCATTGTTAGATGCCGTTTTAAATCATGTTTGTGTAAGAATAGACAAAAAAATAGAATGGATTTAAGTGGATATACATGAAGTAAAAGCAACAATTCGCCCATAGTCATCAGTTAAATTGTTAATTATATATATCCTAATCCAATTTGATTATTTTTAACTGCAGCTGTCACAAGGAGATGCGCTGAGCTGCCATTTCTTCTCTGTTTGTATTCCTATGATGTGTTTTTATCTCTGAATGAACTGGTCTGCTTATTATATCTTCCTGACATAGATGGTTCTAATATATGGAGTGGAATTTTGCATCTCTGTGAACGTAGACGTGAATAAATCAACAGAAATATTTAATTATTCCCTGTCAATCATTTTGAACTTTAGTGGTGAAACAGGTATCCGGAGCAGTTTACTCTCGAACTTCATTTCATGGTTGTACTCAACA